AGAGAGAGAGAGAGAGAGAGAGAAAGAAAGAAACTGTGATTTTGGGGGGAGGGTTGAAGTGGGGAGGGAGCAAAGAAAAATGTAAAGCTCAATAAAAATCAATTAAAAAAAAGAAACAAAAGACTTGTACCACCACTCCCAGCATTAAAATGTCATTTTAATAGTAGTCACTGATAAAAGCCATGGACATAATGGACATAGAAGGAAAGAACTTGGTAAAAGACAATGTCAGGCACTTGGGAGGCAGAGGCAGGCGGATCTTTGTGAGTTCGAGACCAGCCTGGTCTATACAAGAGCTAGTTCCAGGACAGGTTCCAAAACCACAGAGAAACCCTGTCTCGAAAAACAAAAACAAACAAACAAAAAAGACAATGTCAGTTCCGTCTCTTCAAGGTGGTAAGAAGTGATGAGGTTTTTGTAATTCAGTTTTCAATTAATTTTTATTTTATGTGTATGGGTGTTTTTACTGCATATCTTTATGCCTGTGTGCCACATGCATGCTTGGTACCCTAGGAGGGCAGAAGATGGTGTCAGACCTCCTGGTACTGAAATTACAATTGGTTGTGAACTATGGCATGGGTGCTGGAAATTCAACCCAGGTCCCTGGGCTGGGAAAAGCAGCCAGTTGCTGGGTCAGGTCTGTTGTCCAGGTTGTGTGTGCTGTGTAAGCTCCTTGGTTCGACTGCATTTTACCGGTCTTGATATAAGTGATGAAGTCCATCCACAGTCCAGAACATAGTTTTTACTATTAACTTTATTTTGAGTCCACTACAACTTTTTATGAGGATGGCAGAGTTGGGCTTTATGGTTGTTTATTTCTTTTGTTTTGTTTTCCTGGTGCTGTAGATGGAACTCACGCCTTTGTTCACTAGACAGAGCTACATAGAGAGACCCTGTCTTGGAAAAAAATATGCAAAAGACTGCATACCAAGAGCTCGCAGATAAGACCACTTACATCACAGAGTCCACAGGCCAAGAGTGGAGCTCAGTGACAGAATACTACTGACAAAGGCCTGGAAAACAGACATAAGAATTGATAAATTTGGCCTATGCCCAAATTCCCAATTATTGTTTATAAATGTTTGTTTACATTTAAAGGGGGATATGCTGTAGAGATGAATACTTTTCATTGGTATGGATCTTGGCTTATTGATACAAATTTAAGGCTGATTTTGTTATATGTATATTTCTGCTCTTGATTAAGGTATTGTATTTGTGCAGCTCATTTAAAATGTAATGTATAATTAAGACATACAGGTTAATAGATAATCATCTATAACAGTCAAGCTTGTAGTTAGTTAGGTTTTCTAGATGTACAGAGATATGTTTCAGATAGACAGTTATTCTTCAAACCTTTCAAAGATGAACAGAATATGGCATTTAAAATGTTTAAAAACGTAGGACTTTTTATGACATGAGACACATCTGTTCCTGTCAGTTCCAATCTACTCCAAGAGGAAGATGGGCATTGAAGACGCTCCTTATGGAGCTGGTTAGCCATCTGGGCAAGAAACTTCTCTTGGCTGGACTGCTTGATAGTATGCTGTGAAAACGACATGCAGGACCCATAGAAAAATGACTGCTAAGGTTGCCTAAAAGAGGCAAGACAGTCTTCCAGGGTTCCTGCTTCATGAGAGAACTGCCAGACATTCTCAGGACACAGAAGAAAGCAACTGATAAACTGCCAGTGCAAGGCATAAGAGATAGTCAAATTTCCTGCTTCATGGAAAAGTCTGCCAGATACTCTGGGCCTGTGGGCTGAAGGTGGATGCTGCAATGATACAGAAGAACTGCGAGTGACTGTCCAGGCAGCAGGATGTCTCTGTCAATTCTAGAGTTTTGGAAGTTGCTTACAATATACTTCCTCTTTATTTAGGTAATATTATATCCTTCTGGAGTCTTTGATGGAGTTGAAATAAGATAGTTATAATTATAAAAGATAAATTAGATATAAAACTTTAGACTCACAAAGATAGTATAGATGATAGAGTATTTTCCTTGATTTGTCAAATGTAAATGGACTAAATATTGTAACTATAATTCTTGTTGATGCATGTTTTGTTAAATGTAATTTTACTATGTTAAAGTTAAAATTTTTCTTTTCATCCAGACAAAAAAGGGGAGGTGATGTGGCGGATTCCCCTCCGTATACCATTGGTTAATGAAGAAGCTGCTTTGGGCCTATGGCAGGGCATGATATAGCCAGGCAGGAAAGGTGATCTATGTAGAGAGTAGGCAGAGTCAGAGAGAAGTCACGTAGCTGCCGAAGGAGACAGATGCCTGGGAACCTTACTGGCAAACCACAAGCCTTGTGGTAAAATACAAAATAATAGAAATGGGTTAACTTAAGATATAAAAGCTAGCTAAAAATACACCTAAGCTATTGGTATTCTGTGTGATTATTTCAGGTCTGGGTGGCCAGGATATTAACAAATGGATCTCTGCCTACAGGCCTCTAAGAAGCTGTCTTCACACTCCTAAAAACAGAAGCATTCCAGTTTATGCTCTAGTGCGTTTACAGAGGGAGACTCTGCTTTGCCTTCCGTGTCAGCCTGAAAGACTCAATTCTAAGGGCTAGAGAGCCGTCTCCACCGGTGAAGCATGAGGACCTGGGCTTGAACCCTTCACACAACACTGAGAAGCTGGAAGGGAAGCCCTAACACACAGTGCTGCCGAGGCTGAGATGGGCGGGTGGGTCTGGGGAAGGAATAAGGCTGATCTCGGGCTTCCACACACACATCGAACATGTCCACGTGCATTTCTGTACATATGTGACTTTACATTCGATAGCCCTGTGATAGAGTAAGAAGAAGAACCAGAGACACACACAAGCTGCATTACCAATATGATGGATGTCTTCCCTGATGACCTCACACTCTATCGGCCACCTGGGAGCCTGCAGTGGCCCTCGGCCAGAGAAAAATGGCAAGAGCTCTCGGGGTTCTCGAAGACGCGGGTTCACTTCATCCAGTTCATCACAAAGAAGCTGCCTGCTCCTAAGAAGTGGTGAACTCAGCATAAGTGAATCTGCCAAAAGGAAGAAGAAATAAATGAACAACTTTCTCTTCACCTCGAGAGCTTTACTGCTCCTTTTTAAAAAATATTTATTTAGTTATTTATTTATTATGCATACAATGTTATGTCTGTGTATATGCCTGCAGGCCAGACCTCATTACAGATGGTTGTGAGCCACCATGCGGTTGCTGGGAATTGAACTCAGGACCTTCAGAAGAGCAGGCAATGCTCTTAACCGCTGAGCCATCTCTCCAGCCCCCTTTCCTGCTCCTCTACAGCAATCAGATAATGTTAAACTGTGTATGAAGACATTAGCAATCTGGGTGTGGTAGTGCACATCTTTATCCCAGTTCTGTGAGTTCAAGGACAGCCTGGTCTACAGAGAGTTCCAGGTTAGCCGGGACTATATAGTAAGATACTGTTGTACCACCACCCCTACCAACAAAAAGGTTAAAAAAAATAGACTACGATGACAGATAAAATTATAAACTATTAAGTTAAAATTCTGCATAATTGAGATTTTAAAAAATCAAGTTAATGGGTCCAAGGTCTCTCAACAGTGGGGTAATAATACTTAACATGACAAATTATTTTGTATTCATTTAGGTGATAAAAGAGGACTTTAATTCTCCTATTGGCATTATGGGGGAAAGCACAAAAAACTTAATTACCTAGAGAAAGAAGCACAGACCTAAATGCAATCTCCAGAACACAGGCAAGACTGTGGAGCATGGTGACCGACGTTTGTGGACAACATTTCTGAAGACGGCACCCAATGTTGTCCTCTAGCCCCTCCCCACTTTAACTGGGGATTACCAATTACACTGCTCGCTATGCAAGGATGAGAGTGTGAATTCAGATGTTCAGAACCCACGTAAGAAACAGGCATGGAGATGCACATCTGTAATCCCAGTTTGGGTACATCAGAGAGATGTAGGTCACCAAAGCTCACAGACCAGACAGTGCAGCCAATCAGTGAGTTTCCGGTTCAGCAAAAATAAGGTTGAGAGGGACTGGAGAGATGGCTCAGAGGTTAAGAGCACCGACTGCTCTTCCAGAGGTCCTGAGTTCAATTCTCAGTCAGCACCCATATGGTGGCTCACAACCATCTGTAGTGAGATCTGGTGCCCTCTTCTGTCATGCTGGTAAACGTGCAGACAGAACACTACACATAATAAATAAATAAATCTTAAAAACAAAACAAAAAACTTTTAGTAGCCAGGCAGAGGCGGCCACACCTTTAATCCCAGCACTCCAGAGGCAGAAGCAGGCAAATCTCTGTGAGTTTGAGGCCAGCCTGGTCTACAGAGTGAGTTCCAGGACAGGTTCTCTGTGCCAAGGATGCGAAAGAAAGAAAGAAA